GAGGCCCGGGCGGCTCTGCCCAATGAGGAGCGGCGTTGCTGGCAGGTGGGGAGTGTTTTTGTTTGGGTTGAAGTTGAGGCTGAGGAGAGAGAAGAGCTAGCGACGAGCAGTCGTCGCCGCCGTCGCGGGAGGCGGAGGAGGCCCCGCCGGAGTCGAGAGGTCTCCCTTCCCCGCCGACGGCTCTTGCTCACTGCTCCTCGGCCTCTTCCCGGTGCCGGAACTCCCGGGCCTGTCCGGGGCTCCCAGTCTTTGCAAGCCGTAGCGCCCGGCCCCGGCCGCACCCGCCGGCCCCATGAGGAGGGACGTGAACGGAGTGACCAAGAGCAGGTTTGAGGTGTGAGCTTGGGGGAGGGGGTTGGTTAGGGCGGCATGAGGAAGGTGATTACAGCTCTTGTGCCCCGAAAAATTCGCTCCGCACTGAGCCTCCTCCCTTGCCGGGCACCGTCACCCACCGACCGCTGGGGCTGCCAGACTTCTCTCCCCTTTCTCGCGACCCGAAAGCCCAGTACAGCCGGACTTCTTAGTCCTCCCGGCTGGTCGCCTCCTGCCCCTTCCACCAGCGGGCCCCGGCAGAGGATTAGCTCTGGCGCCCTAATTCCCCCTCCCCCTAGTATCACTGAGCTTTCCATTCTTTACACAACCCTTGGCTTGCCACCCTCCACCCAGCAGAAAAAGTATCACAGCTCCGGTCGGGATCGACGGGAGGGAGCTTGCTTTTCTTGCTGCCGCCTTCTTTGTGAAGCAAATGGGCAGTTATGGGCCAGGGAGCCTTTTCTCCGAGCTTGAGAGACCTTGGTTAAGCTAGGGAAGTGGGGGTGGTATACTGAGATGATAGAGACGACCACGGGCTTTCGGTGCTGTGTTTGGTTTGGGTATTGTTCTGATACTTCCTCTTCTTTCCCGTTTCGTCTGTACTTTTTGTAGCTCATTGTTTCTGGGAACTCTTAGATACGTACAGGCTTTGAGATTGGGACGAATGTCTGAGAGACAGAGGGAAATCCATTCAAGTCTCTTTGTCTCTAAGAACTTTTCTGCCTCTGGGCGAGAGAGGTTTATAGTCATGGAATTAAGGAATGAATGAGGAAATAAACATTTGAACGTGTCTTTAGAGAGTATAATCTTTGTCGAGAAGTGATTCCTTTGGAAAGTGAAATATTGTTAACTGCAGATGAATTACAGTAGTATAGTAATATACAGGAAGGTTAATTAAGGGGATAAGAGA